AATCCGTGGAGAAGCGACCCTGATGGATCACTGGACAGATCCGCATTATTTTACCGCCGCATTCCCAACCTTGTTTCCGGCAGGGATCGGGGGCCATCTGGATGAGCGAACCATCCCTGTGTCGCTTGCCGCTTTTGCCGACTGGGCTTTGCGTCACCACAGTAGAAGGTAGGTCGCTTTCTTTACGATATTTTCTTGCTGAGGCTTGCCTCTACTTACTCGCCCAGGTTCGCACGCCACAAAACCTTCATGTACCTGCTGTATGATGTGATCCAGCTCCGGAAGTCGTCGATGGGCAATGGGTTCCTCGTAAAACGACAGAATTGGCAGTCCACCATGAACGACATCGCCTCTCTGACGGTGAACCAGCTCCAGGATGCAGCCAAGACGGCGGCAGCTGGCCAGAAAATCGAGGATCTGATCATCCGACGACTGCTACGTAACATCGAGACCATCGGGATGCAGGTCCCTGGATCCTTCGCCCAGAAACTAAGGATGCGTTCTGAAATTCGAGGGCTGATTGCCCGATACGGCATGCCCGCTTTTTGGATCACGATCAACCCCTCCGATCTACGGAACCCACTAGTGCTGATTCTGGCAGGCGTAGAGTACTCTGGAGTCAACTTGGCTACGGCAAATGCCGCTATTCGTGAGGCTGCAGCCACCTCTAATCCGGTGGCTGTTGCTGAATTCTTCAATCACGTCTGCAAAGCCATCCTGGATGGCCTTTTCGCGACCAATACCGGCCAGACCGGTATCCTTGGTGATCTCTCGAACCATTTTGCTGTTGTCGAGACGAACGGTCGAGGTATGCTGCATCTCCATGGATTAGCATGGGCCAGGGGGAATCTTGCTTTCACTACCTTACGGGATCGCCTGCTCCAGGATAGCGACTTTGCGGCTCGCATGATTCGCTACTTGGAGTCAATCATTACTCAAGGCGTCGATGAGAGTATTCTCCACGACCCTGAAGTGAATCTTCCCAGCATATCACCTTCAGCCACTGACAATGAATCCGATAACGACTTTCATCTCCGACTCTCCATTGATAGCAATTGCGTCGCTCGTAAAATGCAAGTCCATTCCAAAAACCATCTTGCCACATGCTTCAAATACCGGAAGACGGCATCAGGCAAGAATGCCTGTCGATTCGGCATGCCTCGAGACCTCGTTCCTACCTCCTACATAGATAAGTTTGGTCTGATTCACCTCGCACGAAATCATGCTTGGATAAATCCGTGGAACCCGGCCATCGCAAGTTGTGTCCGGTCTAATCAGGACATCTCTTGGATTCCAACGGTTTCCAAGTCTTTGTCTCTGATCTACTACATCACGAACTATGCCACGAAAGATGATGTCTCCCCGTGGCAGATAGTAGCTAAGGCGGCTCTATTGAGGCATTCCATTGAGAAGGCAAGAAAAGCTGATCCACCAACCGCAACAGACCTACGACTTCGAGAAAAGGGTATGGGGAATTTTGCACTACGCTGCTTCAACACGCTCTCTCATGACCGGGAGATCAGCGGCGTCCAAGTCGCGAGCGTGTTGCTCCAACTACCCACCTATTACACGGTCAACTACAGTTTTACTCGCATCAACCTCTGGTGGTTAAGGCGTTATGTCCGAGCAATAATTCGGTCAGATAACCTTGACAGGAGTCGCTCTTCCGACTCCATCGCAGAAGAACCTTGCGCATACGAAACTGGCGACACCGCCCCTGTGAGCATCTTTGATAATTATAAGTGGCGCGGACCGCACCTGGCCTCTCTCGCATTATTTGAATACTGTATGCTTGTAAAAACCAAGAATATTCGCGATGCTATTGCAGATGATGCAGACTTCGACCCAAGCCATCCTAGATATACCACTCATGTGCAGCGCCTGGCCCGCTCCCCATCTCAGGTGGCCACTGTGACCTTCAGTGGTCAACTGACCGAATTCCAAGCCGCGGAAGATGCCGTTCTGGGAGGGCATCCGAAAACGACCGCGATCATAAATGACATGTCAGAGATATTGTTGGGGCTCTTTGTTCCCTGGACTCACTTGGTAAATCTCTTCCGACGGTATGCGACACAACGGGACACTTGCATTCAAGTATGGACGGCCGTTGAACCAACCCTCCCATTTCACATCCGAGCTTTTGCAAGAAACATTGAATTGCTGCGGAAGTCGAAGGAAGACTGCCAGGCGGATGCCAAATTATGGAAGTCCGCGAACGGCGCCGCTGACTCATTTCACCACGATGTCGATGAGCTGGAGCCCGCAACTTTCGGTTCTGATAGCGATGATGCGGAAGGATCCTTTCGCCTGCAAGATGAGACGTTCAATGCAGAGACATTGATCGCAGCCTACCACTCCATCACCAAAGCATGGCATCGAGAGTCTCTGGTAGCCGGACGACGGATCCCTCCATTGCTACGCGCAACAACCCCAACTCGAAACTTAGATCTACAAAACCTCCAGCCGCTTGATATCCCACGCACTCTTGCGTACGAAACATCTGGCCTGCAATTCGTCCCACCGTCTACTTTACAGGAGTGGGAATCTCGACTGAAAGGTTTCGCCAACCTTGATCGTGAAGATACCACGGAGCGTGAGGTTGCCACATCCAGCCTTACACTCGACGATTTCGACGTCCAGGTTGAAGATAACATCTTCCAGCCCGCGTTGACTAGTTTCGATATGTTCCCTGATATAGATGATCACCAGTCCCGGGTTGGCGAGAATCCTACCGGCGCATCTCTTACATCCCTAGTCATTGAGGTGATCCCTCTGAATCAGAAGCAACACTTGATCGTGGAGAGCGTGCTTTCTGAGGCATTGACTTGGGCGGACCATCCCTATGATTCATCGCAACGGAAGCAGACTCTCCTCTACGTTGGAGGTGAAGGCGGCACAGGGAAGAGCCAGATCGTCAAGGCAATTGAAGCTGGTATGAGCCTTGTCGGACGGAAACACGAGGTCATCCTTATGGCCCCAACGGGTGCCGCGGCAGATAATATCGGCGGCAATACGTACCACACATCTCTCGGGATTTCCATCGACCGCTCACGAGCAACTGCAATGAGTTCTCGGGTGAGGAGACTCTGGTCACGTAAAACCATCATGTTCGTGGACGAAGTAAGCATGATGGATCTGACCATGATTGGCGTCATTGATAATCACTGCAAGATCGCCAAATCCCTCGATAGGTCCTCCACTGATCTTTTCGGTGGTCTCCCCGTCGTAATCTTCATTGGCGACTTCTTTCAGTTTCCACCCGTTCGGGGCCCGGCGCTATGGAAGGAACCGAGAACGGGTGCGGGTGCCGAGGAGAACGGTCGCCTCCTCTGGCATCATTTCAAGCAGGTGATCATCTTAGATGAGCAGATGAGACAGTCAGAAGATGCCCCATTTCGTGACCTCCTATCGCGAGCGAGAGCAGGGACTTTAACTGAAGCCGATCGAGCGGTCCTCAACAGCAAAACGATCACATCTCTGGCTAGCCCTCAACTGCAAGATGCCACCACCATAGTCAAGTTGAACTCACTGCGACACCAGGTAAATCGCGTTCGGATAGAGCAATTCGCACGCGCGCGATGCCAGAATGTCTATATATTTCCTGCGCTTCATTCGCGAACCAGGTCTACTGGCCCAATCAATCTGCGGCTCCGTGCAGACGACTTGCTCCAGCAACCGGACCAAGGCACTAAGGTCCCCTTCCCGGGACTCTTTCTGTACACCCCAAATATGCCTGCTGTCATACTGACTAACATCTGTACCCTGCTCGGCCTAGTCAATGGTGCTGCGGGGACTGCTGTAGGCATCGTGGTAGATCAGACTGGTCCGTTCCTCTTCCATAAATAGCCATGAACGTTGCCTGACACCTTTCTGTTAGCCGAGTTCTTCCAAATCGACGACCTCTATATCATGTGCACCAAACCACCCGCCTGCATATTGTTCAAACCAGACAGACCTAAACCCACTGCTTTTCAAGACCTTGAACCTTCAATCCTGCCAGTCTTTCCATTGGAGCGATCTATCACCCTGAAAGGATATTCGGTGCGAAGGAAGCAAGTCCCTATGTGCCCAGCTTACTGTCTCACCGACTACAAAGTGCAAGGCTCGACCCTTGTAGCTGCGATCCTCGATCTCAAAGATGACCCCACCATCCGGGGGCAAGACCGTCACCGGAAGTATTGTTCGACGTATGTGCAGCTATCCCGGCTTCGATCCTCCAAAGGACTTCATCTCCTACAGGAAGTCGATATGGAAGACCTTCGGTTCGGACCTGATCCTCGACTGTTAACTGAAATGCAAAGGCTCCAAGCACTCGAAAAGACAACGATTGCTGCGTGGCAGGAAGCTTTGGACCTATAAGAGTGCGCTTTCTCCTAATAAAGTAATATCAACACGCAATACCCTTTTTCTCGATTACAAAAACGCAAAGCGCTTTATCTTCTCCGGGAAATCGCGATGAAGGGCCTCTAATTTGAACCTGATCCCCGAATACCCGCGGAAATGCGGAGACTCCACGACCTTCAAAGAATGTCGTTAGGCGAATAGGAGCATTCACTTCTACCATTATTACTCTATACGCATATCTCTGCCGTGCACGGATGGACGATACCCTAAACTATAAATGATATAATAACCAACCGGCACCTTCTTAACTAACACCTCCACAAATCACTCATCTCCACGTCCTGTATACATAAATGGTGGCTAACAAAAAAACCTAAAATCATCCACTAATCTTGCTCCAACCAGTGGTAAGATACATTTACGACATGTCATATGTAGGTTCGTACCTACAACAGGGATCTTGCTCCATAGTATACCATAGGCGTACTAACGAGGGCCCCTCTCGCCTACTTCTCCTTTTACCCATCGACCCCTCTCCAAACCCCTACAAAATATTTGACCAACGTTTTTTATCTAGATTTGATGTACGCCAGATAACGTTATGACTTCTAATTCAACTTGTCCGGCTATTATTCATATTCGAGATTTCGTCGAGCATGTCGAACCAGACCCTACCCGTCCCGGTAAAGGACTTTCAATGCAGCTCCGTATATCGCTCAATATACCGTTAAAGGACATTCAATCAGACGATGTTGAATAGAATGAAATTCCTACCCTGCTTAGGTTTTTTAATGAGGGTAACCAGTCTGACCTTTACAAATCAAACACCTTTATCTATTCCTCGGGATCGTTCCTGACCACCTCAACCAATGACGAGGAATTTCATATTATTATCCACGCTCACACTTTGGACCGGTGAGTTTACCTTATCTGCTACCGAACTAAGCCAAGCTAACACAATCTAGTCATCCAGGGAATGAAGAAGACTCCGAAATATATTTCATGCACTGTCCCGAAGCTGCTCAGCCTACGGTGACGTTCCTTGGTGTTGTTCTTAAGCGTGGTGGTCAACTAAACGGCGGGCCAATTCTTCTTCACTACCGTCTCCAGACTACTGTCTACAATAGTTCCTCTCGAACCTATCATACCTTCCCAGTCACCGCGTACTTCAAAAATGGTCAGCGATGGGCGAACTTTCCACCACTGACCACAAATTCCTATGTCTTCTTGACAGGTCGCATTTTCGGTCTCACGAAAGAATATCGCCAATTGGCTATCGTCACGGATGATATACATTTTCTCCCAAGACCAAATCATCATTTACCGGTCACCCCTTCCTCAACTGGGAAACGGAAGTGTGTAGACCGTTGGTCTCAAAGGGCTGGTTCTCAAACCCCAACTAAATCCACCGCAAGTTCGCGAACTGAACCACTTCCTATCACCCGTCCGCGATTATATTCCCCTGAAGTAGTTCCTCTTGATAATGAGGATGAGGACACCACACAAATTACATGGCCAGCAACCACGGACGAAAACGAGCCCTCGCCACCGGCTACAACACCACCTCCAGAGAGGCGTTCTCGAAGACAACGTAAAAAATCATACACCGATGTGCTTGCACAACCGGATTATAATGGCTGATAGCGAATTCCTGCTTTTTCTGTTTTCCAAGGTGTTTCGGGTATTAGTCATGCTACCAGCCTTCTCATTGGCTACCGCTCGTTTGCATTATGAAGTATCAGTTAAGCAAAACAACGTTCCTTTTTCCTAACTTTCTCATCTCTGCCCTTCTTTTCATCGTTTCAGGGCCACAGCGTGCGACAGCACGCGTCACCAGTTTTATTGGGGTTGCCTCACAATGCCCGTAGACCACGTGATATCTACACCGACATTACTGAGGGCCTCTTCCTCCCACAACTGCCTCACGAGAGCCAGTTGCTTGCCTCTGCGGGTAGCTCGTCATCTCTCACGCAGTCAAGTCTTGATTTTGTGTTTCACTTTCTTCCATACGGCAACAGCACCGATAAGCCTTGAATATACGCACTCCACCATGACGTTCAGCCAGTCCAGCAGTGCCACCCCTGCCCCACTCGACTCCGCTTGGCCGCCGGCCCACATTTGGGAAACCATGGGTGCGGCAGACCGTGCCAGTTGGTTAGGGCAGATACAAAGAGACAGGGCTAGGCGCCTTGAATTGGACGTAGCGGAGACCGATCTCCGCCGCAGAAGGCCTCGTGTGGACCAGCAAGATGACGATAATCTCGAGGAAAACCGTGAGCCACCCCCCGAGGTCAAACCACTCATCGACATATTTCCGGGTGTCTCCGCCGCCCTTCTTACTCGCGTCTTCGAGAGGAAGTTGAAGGCGACTGAACTCATACGCTTCAAAGAGAAGTCAGTCACTGAGCTAGATCAGGAGGACAGAGTCTTTAAGATGACTGAATCGGGAGGCACAGTGGGCTTCAAAAAGGCAGCAGCGTCGCTTAAGGACTGGGGCCCTAACCCTCAAATATGGACGACCTGCTTTGTTGCCTATCTGGCCGTCGTAGGATATCTCTTCGGCGAGAAACATCCTAAGGCAGTTCCCAACCTACTCATGTTTATGAGGCAGATTCTGGACTTCGCTCAGACTTATCAGTGGCTGGAAGCAGTTCTCCCACTTGCCCTTAATTTCCACCAATACATATTGGATAAAGGAGAGCTATCGACGGACAACTACCTGATCACAGGCCCATTCCGTGAGAAATACCTCCGCCATAATCTCACTCTACCTGCGAAGTCACCAACAAACCCTCCAACACGGCCTCGTCAAGCCAGGAATACCAGATCTTCGAACAATGAGACAGAGGTCTGCGATAAGTTCAATACGACAGGGTGCTCCTGGGAAGGCTGCAAGAGACGTCATGAGTGCACGGCATGTGGCCTCAGCGAGCATGGCGCCTCCTCCTGCCGCAAGAAGAAGTAGCAAGTGACAGCCGTCGAGAACTACGCTAGTGACACCGACAGCGCTGCTCTCAATCCCTTATCCTTAAGCCTCATACCGCAGGGGCAACCATCTAGACCAAACACCACTGTTCAATACCCCGTTTTCAACCCAAAGCTCCCAAGGTTACAGTCATCTCCGTCACCACTGTACGCGACAGGCTGGAGCAATCTTCTACGCTACTATCCAGGCGACCTCGGGCCCACTATCGCTGGTATCCTGACCTACGGTGCCCAGGTCGGCTATAGGGGCAAGAAGCAGTTTCGCTATTCCTCTAACCATCACATACATGAACCAGGCATAATCACAGCCAAACTAGCAGAGGATCTCAACCTCGGTCGTGTTAGGCTAGCCTCTGGGCCCTCCTTCATTTCACCGCTTGGGTTAGTCCCAAAGCATGATGGGGGATGGCGCCGCATCCACGATCTCTCTTGGCCACCTGGACAAGGACTGAACCAGGGCATACCGGACCCTTGGTCAACTATTGAATACATGACAATTGATAATATCTACGAGCAAGTCATACAAGCCGGCTCAGGCTGCGCAATCATCAAGAGAGATATCAAGGACGCCTTCCGAATAGTCCCTGTTGCCAAGGACAACCAGGATCTCCTTGCCTTCCAGTGGAACGACTCCACTTACGTCGAATGCTGTCTCCCCTTTGGCCTCGCAACAGCCCCATTTCTCTTCAACCTCTTTGCCGAGGCACTCCATTGGATACTCCAATGCCTCCTACCTGCATTCTATATCAATCATTACCTAGACGACTTCATCGCAATTGCTCGGTCTCCTTCGGTGTTCGACCCTACGGGTACCTTCGATAAGGTTTACAACAGGGTCACCGACTACCTATGTATTCCTCGTAACTCTAGAAAGGACCAGCAAGGGACCTGTGTTATAGTCCTAGGTATCCAGATAGACTCTATTGGGATGGAAGCTCGTCTGCCACCAGAGAAGTTGTGCCGCGCCACATTGGACGCCGCAGCTGCTCTGAACGCAGCCAGTCTCTCCCTTAAGCAAACAGAGCGCCTCACGGGCTTATTAGCCTTCTGTTCAAGAGTTGTTCGGCTAGGAAGAACAAGGCTACAGTCTCTATATACCTTCCAAGCCGCTTTCCCCCATGGGAGCAGCGCGCGCCGCCGTATCCCTTACGAGGTACGTGACGATTTGGAATGGTGGAGGGACTCCTTGTCTCTCTTCAACGGCCTACTCCTACTCGACCCCTGCCGCCGCACTATCACGCATCTCTACACAGATGCCTCTAGTACAGGCCAGGGGCTCTTCTTCTTCTCATCTAAGTCTACATTAGACTGCTGGCTGGCCCATTGTCACCAGCTTCATCCAAGCAATGCTGCCACATTGGCCCTTGCTCAAGACGCACATGCGCACATCAATACCAACGAAGTAGACGCTATTCTACAAGGCTTCCTACTTTTCAGCCACCATTGGCTCCATCACACTCTCGTTATCCACACGGATAGCTCCACAGCCCACACGGGACTAAAGAAAGGCTTCCTTCATGGTCCTCCTAACGCACCTCTGAAGAGCCTACTTATCCTAGCGGCGGCGAGAGACATCCACATCGTGCCACACTGGCTCCCTTCCGGGGAAAATAGATTAGCAGATGCGCTCTCACGTAACAATCTTGAAGACATTGCTAACATTTGTCCCCATTGGCAGGACCTCTCGGTATTGAACCGCCGGCGTGGTTCTCTTCACGAGCTCCTCAGCTCAATGCAGGCCACCTAAAACTGCTCTGGAACGGACTTAGCGCAAACACACGTTCCGTTTACCTCTCCGTTCAGCGCAATTACGAAAAGCACTGCGCGCTACAGAATATACCCGCATGGCCAGTTTCAAGACATTCTTTGACTTCATGGTTAAGCGCACGACTCCTTGGTAACGCCAGCCAAAAGGCCGTCAAGCCTGACACCGCACTCGCCGACCTAGCCGCTCTCCGAGCCTATCATATCGATAACTTCCTTGACGATAAACTTTTCGACAACAAGCATTTTCGACGTCTCATAGACGGCGCGAGAAGACTTAACCCTACCACAAAAGTACGGGTCAGAAAACCGATTTCGCGTGACACTATTACGAAACTATCCGCGGGCCTCGCCACACTCCCGTTACGGCCCTCGGAGATGTCTGCAAACCTTCTAGACGACCTGAACTTCGCAACCGCGTGCCGTGTAGCATTTGCGGGGTTCCTCCGCCTCGGAGAATTCACCTACAAGACCGAAGACCTCGGCACACGTTCTATCTTCTCAGCCACAAAGTTAACGCGCTCCGACGTCAGATTCTCGTCCTCGTTAGACCACGCACAACTCACACTCAAGCGCAGTAAGACGGACCGGCGCCACAAAGGAGTACAGATTATTCTTGCAAGGACGGGAGACGGCGCATGCCCAGTTGATGCGCTTCAGAAGCTGCTACTTCTCGACCCCAGAGGGCCCGACGCCCCATTGTTCTCCTTCCACAGAAGACCATTCAGTCGCAACAACTTCCTCTCAACCTTGTCCACTAAGCTAAGAGCGCTCGGGATATGGACAGACGGCTACTCGGGTCACAGCTTTCGGAAGGGCGCAGCTCAGCATGCGCACGATAGTGGGATACTCGACGACCAGATCCAGATGCTAGGGAGATGGACTTCGGAGGCGTTCAGGGTGTATTTTACGACGAACGCGTCAGTCCTGTATAAGCTCAATCACCAATTTCAGATAGGCTCGCCGGCCCCGCTGTCTCTGCTGATTCCACCACCGTCCCCTCCACCATCCTAGTTTGGCCCGGGTCATTTGGGCCCTATCTGACGCTACGGTCTACGACCGCAGCGACAGGTGACCCGTTATGGCCAAACTACACTCTTCTTGCTCCTCTTGACTGCGTGAGGTCACCAATAAATCACCCCTAGCGCCACTCGAGCGCCACTCGCACCCTGTCCGAGTTGCATACAACACCCGATTTGCTTTTCCTTCGTAGTGCACAGCGTCTCTAAATTCCATATTGATTGGAAGATTGTACGGCACTACATAGACAGGAAGCTCTGGTATAATCCATGATTCACTCTAGTGGCATAGTATATTTTTTGGAATTCAGAGGCATGTGGATTGAATTATTCTTTTTGATAAGACAGAAGCGACTGTGTATAGAATGTTGAGGAATCAGCCTTGTTTACCGCTGGTTTCGCTAAATAAGCACCCATCTCCTCTTCCTAATCTGTCAAGATACGCAAATCGAAGTTGATTGAGTCTCAAAACCGTAAAAAAAAATGAAATAACACACTCTCCAAACTCCTTCCTCTCCGTCATATCTGTCTTAGGCTAATTACCCCCTGTTTGCCCTCCAGGTCTCCGAAACAAGTCCTGACGCAGACAATCTCTCCATAACACGGACGAAGAACCCAACTTTCACTTGTTCATCGAACTCTACTTTGATTACGCAGTGCCTGTTGCTTCCCCTGATCATACTACACCCTAACATAATCGTTTTGCTATAGTTTTCTTGTTTTTCTTGTTGTCCTTACTTTTCTGAATTTCGCAATTACTCCTTTTGCGTTCTCTATATCTTCCTCTGGGATCTACTAGTTATACTCGGAAGGCTACTCTTTCTATTTGACTAGAGAGTATATCGTTCTGTGAATTGATTTTTCTTCCTTAACCTCTTCAACTTCCTACTTATTACCTTCTTTAAGTTCGGATATCGGCATATTATTCGTATCGCCTTTCTTTCGATTCTAGGGTTCTAGTAGAGAGATATAGAACACGTTGTGAATTCGGGAATATTGTTCGGGAAGGGCAAGGAGGTAGGCTTACTGTCTAATACGTTGAAGGACCCGGAAAGGCCCAATGAATCGTGGGATTAACTTCTTGGAGGGTAGGTTGAGCTTGAGGTTTTTGTAGAAAGAAGGATGAGATCGCGGAATTTGTACTCTTGGGGCTGATGCTTTGAATTGTAGAACTTGACTTGCGAACCCAGGGCCTTCTTGAGGCGGAGATGGTTGCATTGCTTTAATTAATAGACTAGAGCCTATATGGCAGGTGCTTTCATCGCATTCCAGAACAACTCAAACCTCAACCCAGTCGCTCATCTCACTCGTAGTACCCAGTTCTAGAATATTCGCCATTTCCCTCTTGTCCGGGGTGATGATCGTTTGCCTTGCCTTTTCGCTGTGCCAGATCTCCGGGTTATAGAACTGAATCGGGAGGTCCTCGTTGACGAGCTCCAGGCTGTTCATGATGAAATCCGCAAACGTCGAAAAATCCGAGCTTGCGTCCTTTTCTGATTTCCGACTTCTTGCAAGGTCGAGAGCTGCCAAGAATTGTTGAAACCAGAAGTGCTTGTGGGTGAGTGCGTCAACCAGAGGACCTGATACTTCTGAGAAGAGCTCCACTGCACGTTGAATCCGGAGCGAGGACGCTTTCTCTGAATCTTGGGACTTCATGTCGGTAACGAGATTTGTATACAAGAAGAGCAACAGGTGTTTATGACCTTCAATCACCGGATTTCTTGCATTAAGCTCCTGCGATAAATCCAGAACTAACGTCGCGCGAAAGGAAAGCTCTTCGACTGAAGGTTCGAGGGAGTCGATCTCCGTAAGAAAAGCTTTCATTCGTTGCACAAAGATTGGTTTATCATTTGAAATCCAAGATTTCTTAATCAATGAGTTCAGTGGCCGAATATCGGGGGGAATATATTGCGAACGGGCTTCCATGCTGTACCAAACCTTTCGAGAATAGCACCGGTTCCAGCTTTCACTATCAATTTCAACCAGCTCCTTGAAGCCGCTAAACGGAAGACGAGAGGCTGGACTTCTGCAGCCCATCCCCTCTTTCTCTGATTGCGGATCGATCACATATAGAGATTGTAGGGCAATCTGCACAACCTGAAGCCAGAAATATGCTTGTGTTTCGGAGTACGGAGATATGGAAGGGTAACTTTTCCGTAGGCGCATCGTGCTCCTCTCAAGCGCGAGAAGTGCCCGCGCTGTGACGCCGATTCTGTGTAAATCCTTCTTGTAGACGTACTGGAGAATCCCAAACGCGTATCGCAGCAGTCGGTCTGGGTCCTCTTGAACCGCGGGCAGATCAGTTGACTGATCAGACATGAATGATACCCACGGGAGAGGCTTCGAGGTCGGGGGTAACCAAATTTTTGTGGCATGGCTGGACCAGAATTCGCTACTCCAGTAATACCATTTCCAAAGCTCGGAATCCATGAGTGTGGGAGAGTGGCGTAGAACCCCATAAAAGCCCCTCAAGCCTGGAAAGTCTTGCATCCCCTTCTGCTTCCGATAATCTCGAATGGCATATTGTGTTTGCAGAATCCAGAATAGGACCATGGTTCTGGAGCCAGTCAGCTTTTCTTTCAATGCTTGTCGAGCAGTGGAGTTTTTTTTTTTTTTTTTTTTTTTTTTTTTTGCTTACTTGTGTCGCGTTTTTTCAAACCATCGAGGTGACGTCCTGCTCATGACGTTCATATACCTGTCAAAGGTACTTGCGATATCAAAGCAAGTTTCTCTGCTTCCCACGGATGGTAATGGGTTGATCGCGTGTTCTTCTACTGATTGCAATACAACCATGTAGAGAGCTTTTATAAGGTGATAATGACTCCAGTTAATAAAAACACCTTTTTGTAAGTATTCCCAAAAGACCTCGGGATCCATATCGTCCTGAGCAATTTCCATTTCAACGAGCCTCTGTAGAGCGAGATCCTTCTTTGGACGCCCAGATGCTGGTAGTCGAGGGGAATTGTCTCTGGGGTCTCTCATTGTAGCGAACATGTCTTCTAGTACGATAAATGTCCCTTCCGCGGACTTTGCGTCCAGCCTGTGAGTGAGAACCTTTCCGGAAATTCTGCCTCTATAGTTTTCAAGCTCCTTCTCATATTCTTGGCGAAGAGTATTGATTCTGGCTCGCTTAAATCCCCAGTCAGCTTGCTTGTTGAAGGCAATCCAGATATACTTTGCCCCGATATTGGCCATGTCCTGCAGTAAAGGAGAAAAGGATACTGGCACTCGATCGGCGGGATTTCCACAGTCATGAAGATAGATGACCAATGTGGCTGGAGAGAGGTGGTGCCACGCCAGCTGGCGAGATTTTTGATCACCTTTTTGGGCCAGGATGTCAGCGTACTTAATTTTTCCCAGGGACCGTGTAATGATCATAAAGGGTAATGAAACCATACCTCCTATCTCCCAGATATGCCAATTGTAGCCTTTTGGGTACTCCACCGTCTCGACATTGACGTTGACGGTATGATTCGGGTGCTCTCGGACCTGCTCGAACTTCAGGCGATCGAGAAACGTGGTTTTGCCACATTCATAATCCCCCATCAGGAGAACCTTGTTTTCGACGGGTGCAGATCCGCAAAGCCATTTGGCGAGAGCTGAAATAGGCCGTGTTAGCTGGGTAGGCATATCAAGCTAGAAGCAACGTACCACTCATGGTTGCTTGGCTGACAAGTGGAAGTTCTTGCTTATGTGCTGATCAAAGTCTGGATTTTGAGCCTCTTTGGGTACTATATATCCGTACACAGAGCGGAAATTTATCCTCGATGGTAATTGTGGTGCCTGTGACAGGCAGAATGGATTTGCGGCAATTTTGACATCATTCGACGTGTTCAATACGAAGAATGAAGTTTCAGGAACTGACCTGAAGTAACAAACACGTGGTCCTTGGGCAACTCGTATTCGCGAGAACTCTGCCCGCCTATGATACCTGAAGACGCACTGAGCCCTAGTAGTGTCTGTGAATTGATACCCGCTTGTTGAGTACCCTCATAGATTGCCCAGAAATAGGGCCGGACACGAATAAAGATTTTGCATAACCGGACTCACAAAATTTTTCGAAATCCATATCCGTACTCGAGATGGTTTTTGGAGGCCTTATTCGTATTCGATGCGTAATTTATTCGTATTATTCGTAAGATTACTATCCCTAGACGAGTGTAACTAAGGCTTGAGAAGCTTGAGAACGTCGACCACTGAGTCCCGTGATCTTAGCTCTTAGCGTGCTTGACCAAATACGGCAAGGTGTAGCATATTACGAATAATGAACTTTTGTCAGAGCAATAGATGACGGTAGTAACCAGAAATGTGGCCCATGGAGCATTTTTTGGTCTAGCGTGGTTTCGATCCCAGCCACAGTCAAGGTTATTTAAGAGTGCTAAGCCAAGTCATGCTGAATCCACAGAAAGAGAGAACCATAGAGTGCGAGAGCGGCAGCCGGGATGGTTGCTCAAAAGAACGGTGTTGGGGAAGGGGCTCCCTAACGAAGGAGACCCTGGGTGTGGTGGAGGGGTTAGGAGTGATTGAAATTCGTTTTGAATTTCCTTTGATTTCAGTATTTGCGTACTGTACTCCGTACCTGAGTTTCATTTGTCTTTTTTGCATATATTCCAGGACGACTAATCAGGGGCTCGCCCCGCAAACCCCATTCGTTCCGCGGCCTGGCAACCACCGTTAAGCTGTCGGGCTGAGAAACAAAGCAGGTGCGTCTATGAAACTGTTTTCGTAATGGACTGTAAAATCACCAACAGAGGTGCGGGTTGGACAGAGAACGGGAAACCAGGTCGTTTTCGATATAAGCCTTTGTCCAATGGCAACGAAAGTATTCGTCCAATAACACCGAAGCACGGCGAGCCAGTCATCGCGATTTTGTTGAAATTTCGCCCCAATTTTTGTGTTTCAGGGCAAGATGGAAAACACGTAGAGGTTGACTCTTAAATGTCATAGCAAATACCAAGCCACCTAATGCTGGAGAGACTCAAGCTGTTGGTAAGCGGAACAGGCTTAACTGACTATTTCTTTTGACCAAGAACAGGAAAGTCCGATGGTTTTATAAGGGAATGTCCGCAACGGCCTAATGCTCGCAAAGATTAAACCTCAGGGACTGAAAAGCCGCATCCTGATGGCCCTCAAACACCTTCCGCTCCTCCATAAGCTCAACCCGCAACTCCTTCGCCTCAGCCATACCCATCAGGCCCTCCCCACCCTCACCTCGATCCCTAACCCACCAATCAGCCCTCTGCGGTGGCACATTCCCTGTTGAAATCACCGTAATCCCAGGGTCAACCAAAAATAGCGCCAAAATCTTCCTACACCCAGGCTTAGTAGGATCCCGCAACGAAAACGGCTGCACGCGGTGCTGGAAGATATTCGGAAACGTGAGGAGTCGGCCCTGCCGACACTCGACGTCGATGATTTCCTGCACGCGTGGTCCGTGGTCTTCGCAGCCGTAGATGGCGCCGATCCAGGGGTCGATTTGGTGCGGGATGTAGTTAGGGATATCGAAGTCGGATTCTTGACGGAAGGAGAGGCGGCTTTCGGTTATGTTTGTGCTAGAGTAATAGTATAGAGCTGTGGCGCAGATGTGTTCGTTCTAGTTGGGTTTAGTATATTGTACCTCTTTAAAAGGAGTTTGGTAGTTAAGACGTACTAATTGGCCTTCTACATGCCAGGACCCACCTTCATAAACTGGTTTGTCGGGTGTAAGGTCGATATTAGCGAGTTTGACGATTACTTGTAGGCTGCCCCAGTAGTCAAGCCCAAGGTCGATAGATGGTGGTTCCCAAGGTGTATACTCTCGTGGTTCGGGCTGAACGACTTCTGCTGCAGTGAACCGCCGTCCATTGGCGGGTATCTCCACACGATATCTAACATTAGAATATGTGATCCTGTTAGGCGGCCATGTTGGTGATGAGCTCCATGTAACATCATTGTGGCGGCAATTTTGCCCGTCTAGCGGACCTAGAGTGTAGTTCCAGAGAGGGATCGCGCAGGGAATTATCTCTTCGATGATTGGATACAACTTGGCATCTTTTGTTGGATGAAGGTTGTTAATATAAGATGTAACTTTGCAGCCTGAAGGCCATTCCATCTGCACGTCGCACGGAAGCCATTGGAATTTCAGACTATAGGGATTTGGAATGGCCTTCAACCGGCTATAGTTAACAATCTTCGGGTTCAGGGGCGGCAGTTTCGCCGCTTCTTCCGGCGGAACAGGGATAATCTCCCCTTCGCTAGGATGCACCTTAAGACAATCTTCCAGTCCTATAAACTGATCACGCAGAATACGACTCCGCCCATAAACGAGCGGGAACATAGATGGATGTATGAGATCAACCACTCTATTATCTGATCCCGGGTGGTAGTCCACAGGCGTTGTTTCTTCTAGGGCGTGTACCGCATCCATTAGAGCTAGACGCGTGGCTTCGAGGACTGCAAAATCGGATTTGACGATGCCGAACTCGTACACGACGACTGTTCCACCGGTTTGCTTGTAAAATTCAGCCTTGTCGCGGAGCTCCGAGATGATGTATTCGAGCATTGGTGAGGAAATATCTTGGTTCGAAGTTTGGATTTCTTCGCGCCATTTATTCGTAATTGTTTCTTTGAATACCTGTAGCGAACTGGTAAGAGAACTCCGCGCGACATAGGTATAGGACATACCTTTTTCTCCCAGCCCTTCTTATCAGTGATATGGTCCATCAATTGGAGCATGATCTGTTCCCGGAGGGTTTTCAAAGGGAGCCTAATTTGTGAACGGACCTTAGAATTAGAACCTGACGTGCATGCATATTATGCTAGGGGGAAATTACACGCTGAATCCATTGGCCAAATCCTGCACCTGCAATGCAGTCGGAAATAACGGCTGGCTTGAATACCGCTTGCCCGTGTCTGGGTGGTGCTTTGGGTGCTTCGTTTCGGGTTGGTGGTTAAGAGGGAGTGTGAGCCCAGGAAGACCATTCGCCATATTGTGAACGAGGGATATCTAGGTCATGAATATTTCTGAAAGAGACTCGGAGCGACTTTGAGAATGAATGTTTCAATTCCTCGAGAGGAACTGTGGACAGATGAGTCAGTCCCGTGTTCAACAACTAGTTAACTGTATTATTTCATATTGCTTTTGTATGACAGATAGTCGTATTCATGGAGGATATAAAGTACCCTCCCACTCAGGGGTTCCTTTGAATCCCTTGAGTCTCCAACAATTAATTTTTGCTGCCTAGTTGGCGCATTTTCTTTCCTTCGCATCCAAAAACCTCCTTTCTTCAACATAGAAGTGAAAGTCCAGATTAATGTCCAATCAACTGTCTTCTTCATATAGATAGTGCAGGAATTCTTTCTGATGCTGCCGCATTATTCCTGATGCGCTCTTGTCTTGTATCACAACATATTTCAATTAGTGCTGACTATACACCGGTCTCCCTTCTTTCAAGGACAACTGTTAAACAAAGCATGATTTGTATAATGTCGAAAGGTCAGTTGGAGATTGAAGCTAGTTATGAACTGAGAATTTCACGATTCACATAGGGATTTCTCGAATTTATTCCGATCCGGCTGGATTCCTGATCTGCTGCAGTCTCGAATTACTACACCAAATTGACGCTGTGCGAATATGTACGCGATTTCTGTCTTCGCATTGTGAGCTTCCACTTGCGTATGTCCCACGAACTCAGGAGGCTACACCCTATTCCCGACTTCTACCAACATTATATATCCCCGTTAGTCTTACTGACCGCGCTATCAGCGGCCTACGAGGGGCACAAAATATCTCATAATGGCCCGATAAGGACCACTTCGCGGACAGATCAACCCTCGTATCCGATATCTATGACCTGCGACCGCCCGTTGCAAGGATAATGCGATGGGTGGTTCCATACTCTCCTTGGTACTTCGGTCAATGCACTTGGAATTATCGTGGCAGATCGCACATAGAAAAGACAGTCGGGATAGCGCAGAGAATCCGTACTGACAAGAAACACGAGGAACCTTCGGCCAAGGCTCAGCCGACAATTTGTGGGCAGGAAGCAACTCCATCTTTCCCTCTCGTGGAGCCAGACGAAGCGACAGATAGGTCGCTCTTATAAGCACCGAGTCAGATGCCGGGGGGAATTGCAAGGAGCTGTGTCGGCAGGGGCTGTGTAGGTATGGATGGAAGGGCGAGAAAGGCGCGTTAGTCCAATTCAAGGCCGTGGCTCGCCGCCTAGTTGCAGAGCCAGCCCAGTCTCCTTCGCTCGGAGGCGAGGACTTGAGGTACTAGGTGGAACAAGTGCATCAAAGTTCAATCGCTTGTGGGTATCCTTGGTAGAAAGAGGGGTGCGACCTGGGTTGCCAGGTGTACGGCCGCCCCAAGCAGGCTGAGCAGGACTAGGGGTCACATTCACGAAATCAGCAAAGTTGAACTACTGATCCGGCGTACCCAAGTTAGGAGTGAACGTGGGAAGGACTGCATACTGGGTGGGGGGAGTGGACGGTGGGAACGTATAGTGCGAACCGCCTACTACGCGACCCGGGGTAGGCGACTTGGCCTGGTATATGAGCAGGTCTGCGCCATGTTCGTGCTGTTCACTCCGGGCCAGATAGGCATACTTGGGAGGCGGCGTACAAGGCGGCGTACAAGGCGGCGAGGATCCCTACATAGAGCTCACATGCCGGAAGCTATGTATAGGCAGATCCGGGTCGTTCTCCTTATCAGATAGGGCTTGATATACAGGAGAAGATAGCTCGGGGATTGTGGTATCGGATATAAAGGGGCAAGGGTGCCGGCGAGTTGTTATATAGCAATTAAGGGCCGGTGAGGACGTAGGCAATTGGTGAGAGCTCTTCCACGACAGTCGAGCAGCCTTGGCCGGACGCTCGGTATCAGAATCAGGCCGGACACGCCTACAGCTGGCCGAGAGCATAGGCCGCATAATGTGGGAATTGAAGGTAACGGTATGCTTGTTGCGGGCTGATCGAGGCCGCTCTTTGGAATATGCTGCGGCTCGGAGGGGAGGGGAGGTTATGGGTGTCTCGCACCGGCTGCGAGAGAAGTCAGCGGAGGAGTCGGAGGGCTTGTCACTGCTGTCCGGCGTCGGCATCAACCTATGAAGTCGGCTATGCTAGTACTTGAGCTTGGCCAGGCCCAATCGGTTCTGTAGACTCAGTGAAACCTATAAGAGCGCCGTCCAGGTCAGCGTGCGTTAATTCTTGACTGGGCACGAAGGTTCTCGAGGCAGTGAATTGTCTATCTGGTCCTCCTAAGCTATTGCTAGGGCTTAACTAGTCCGGGTACAATCTGCACCCTAGATACAGACGGTCCACTTCTATTCTGAGGCTCTCGAGGTTTGATGTTTTTTTGAGGTATTCTTACCCGGGCTATTTCCAGTTTCCGAATGGCCTTCTCTGCGGAGCCACGCTGTGAGGACAGGGTCATAGCGGGCAAATGAGGGAAGGGAAAGAAAGTCGAAGGCAGGGCAAGAGATAGTCCTTTGCTGTGGAGGATTAGGCTTAGGCGTTCGCTATAAGGGCGGCCTGAGTAGAATTGCCGAGTGAGACCCAACTGGCGAGAAGAAAACCGGGGCCACTTTGGCCGAGAATAGAGTCGGACAATTTAGGTGAGACCAGGAAATTACAATGAGAGTGTATGATATAGAGCTTTTATTCTTCGAAAGAAGCATAGCCCACCCTCATCTATCGTCTTTCGAGATACAAAGTGATATTTCGCAGAGCACACGTGGACAGAAACGCGACCGAGCAAGGTGAGAGATTGGAAGACCAAGGCCCTAGTGGTGATTATTCATCGCAGCTGATGCGCTGTAATACCAGTGGCAGCGCTGTAGGCTCCTTTTCTTAATGCTGAATTCTGCTGTATGCGACGAGATATTCCATTGAGCTGAGGTTGGGGCCGCTTAAAGTTGTACGTAGGCGAAACGCGTCGCGTTATGTCGCGCCGTCGGCATGCCAACAAAGGAGGCAGCGGTGCTAGGATTCTCCACGCCGAGGCTTGCCGGTGTGAGTAGCTTTCTAATGTCTAAAATGCGATCAGTCATGATTCTTGATCGCGCGACGACTTGTTTTGTTCGGGATAGTGGTGCCTGGGTTGGGGCGTTTATTAGGCATACATCGTTCGCGAACCAAGGCGAGTACTCCGCCGCGTCTCGTCATACGGGCTACCGCTGCATCGCATGCTCCGTTGAAGTTTTGAACCGCAGAATTCGGAGTGCTTCCTAAGCTCATGATCATATAATGATTTTCCACAAACTGTGGCAGTGTATTAGTCGTTACCCTTCCTATGAAGGAGTAGCCTGAACTCTTCCTTATCAGCAAGAACACTAAGCTCGCTTGTGTTCAATCACTCATATCTCGTACCGTCGTATTCTCATCGAATGAAAGCCGTGTCGGCTTCTTTAGCCTTAACCCGGCATTGTAATAAAATCCAGGAAACACAGCCGTCGGCTCTGATAAGGTATCAAACCAGTCGAATAAGCAGCAAGTTCCTGTCACAAGTGGGCATACTTGGTGCAGGGCTAGTTAAGTAGGAAATGAGTCGAACTATTGGAGCGGAGACAATGAGTAGATAGAGATACACGGTGTGCAGACTGCGCATAGAGACAAGACGGGCCTACCATAAAGGGGATAGGACCGTTGGAAACTGTTCAAGGCGGGGGCGAGATAAAAGGAGACCGGTGCCAATCGACAACTTCGACGTGCAGAGAAAATGTTAGTCACACAGTCATCAAGGTATCTAGCCAATCAGTACTTACAACTCCAAACTCTATACAGGGGCGTGTTCGTGAGCGACTATGGTTTTCAGGATTAGCCGTGCCTTTCGGACGCGTTGTTATATATGGACAAGGTACAGTATTTTAGAAGTGCTCAACGAGATACATAGTTAGAGCGTATGATGTATCGTCACGGTGCGGAGTGTAGATAAGGCCCATGCTTGTATCACCCTTGGTATCAATCAGCCCCACATCAAGCAAGCAGAGCGACGAGGCGTACTTACATGCAAGTTTAGCAATCGTCAGAAGGGCCTTGGAAGGAGGAACTGCGGCTGGTCAGCACATCTTAGATCAATCAGAGCGTACAATAGGACCAGTGAGCCTTATGGGTGTTGACTTTCATACAGGCAGGCTGCAATCTGCGCGCTTCGTATTAGAAAGACGGAACGATGGCTGGGACTATCGAAGTGTTGTATAAGTAGGCCTCCTTCTTATCGTTCAGGGATGTCTGCAGGCTGGTGATTGTATTTATAGATGTCGCTCGCCCCATTCTTGGTAGTTCCGTATCAACGTTGAAGTATGTTCAGCATCTCGTAGCGTAGCCTTGCTCACTCCTTACAAGTGTGCTTTCTCCCTTTTCAACAGCAGGCAGATTAGACTGGATTTTCAAGATCAACTTGTGGCTTTGGGTCGATGGTGACTGTCAATTCAACCATGGATTATGGTTGCAAACGTTTCTTCAACGCGGCTTTCTGTTCTCACCGCGTCGTTGACTCAACGGCCGCACTCACAACATCACCATTACATTTATGTGCCATAACTGCTATGTGATGTACATGATGCTGGCGTCAGGTTTGCCTCCGCTACCACACCAAGCAATTCACCACTTGGCAAGGAACTGAGTCACTTGGTACGAATCGCGAATCTGCCAATTTGGACCCTTGTCAATTGCGGTCGCGCTTCCTCCTGGCACTGGGGAACCGCAATAAAAACTTTACCGGGACCGGGGCATCTACTTTTTCTTATACTGTAGCAACTTGAGAGCTCCTGGCTCCGTTTTTGTTAATTACTGTACATACTTGCATGTCTCTTGTTGTGTGCTGGGTAATAGGTGAATTCATATATATGATGACGGGTACATTTTGGCGCTCGACGGGCAAAATATATCTTGTCAATTTGTGGCTTAAAAAATCAGAACCAACACATGGAAATGGTCGCAGATGCATAGCGATTCAGCAGAGCTGCCCTTTAGAATAACCTCTGCTTTTCAGAGCAACTTTTTGTCCGAATTGGGATCGGAAGAGGACAAACCTATCTGGAGCTCAGAAAACTTGGGGAAGTCATTACTCTTGTGAGAAACAAAGAGGAGATCCATTGAAACTTGTGGCGTATATGCTCGTTTTCTTTTTTGGCCTACTAGTAACTCCACCTTCCAGGTCATGCGTTCGAATCCTTCGGGCATCGTTATTTCTAAACGATGTTCAAGATTTAGTCCATCAACTCCCGCACCGTGTCATTGCAGTTCGCCCAACTAGAGAGGCGGATGCAGCGCGTTGTCTCCACACCCTTCCCGCATCCTTCGTAACTCTCTTTTGCGATCGTTCTTGGCGTCCATCGTTGACGAACGCGCTACCACAAAAGGATAGTGCACATTTCGTGCTCTTTGCCGTTCGCCCTTTAAACCAGTTCCCGTTCATATATCGGACGAGCCTGCGTTTTCCTTTGTGACCGGCTAGCAATTGGACGTCAGCCGTCCACGGAAACAAGGATCGTAGGCAGAGCTAGTCCGATTAAGACTAGCCACGTAGCGATTGCGGCCTCCCCATCTTCTATGCGGGGCATAATGGGCTTTGAGGTTATCGCGACGCGTGAAGCGGCGCTGGCACTCCGGAACCCAGCAGGCATATGACCTTTCAGCCAGGTGGCCGGACAGATGACGCTGTAGGCCTTTGAAATGTCGAAAGTGACCGCTGCACCTTGCAACGCTGCATTTCAATTGCCGCCACCGAAACGGCCGTGGTATGCTGTTGCGGGTGTTGCTGGAGTGTCCTTGGTTGCCATAGACGAGGCGTGTGACAATCATTTGTTTCAACAGCGCCGCTTTTGTGACTATCTGGCACGGCGAAACGTCATCCTTAGTAGCATAGTTGGTAATATAATACAGAAGAGACAACGACTTGGACACGGTTAGAATCTAGGAGATATCATGATTTGCTTTAGGGTACCGGAGTGTGACGATGTGGGGCACGCAAACTGCTTGCCAGCCACAACCGAGAACCACTAGCCAGTCCCCGCTCCCACAGAGGAAAATGTCGTAGGGGTCATGTTCTTAGAAAACGCTAGATGAATTTAGCGTTAACCCCTCCGCTAGTATCCTTGTCTGACTGAGGTTGAGCTGGCTCTATTTTAGAATTATATACTCTTTTCATACTATTTAACATTCTTGACTAGTAATGGGTGTTTCTTTCGCAACCTCCAGTCTTCATCTGACATCACCAACCAACTAGACGACGTAGAGTTATTCTGTCCATATCCAACCTGCTCGAGCTAGTTCTAGCCGGACGCTATTGTAACCGAGATATACCATTCGGAATACCATTTAGACATCATTTCCACATGTTCCAAAACCAATCCACACTCCCTCCATTACGATCCGGCTTCGTCGAGGACCATTTCCTCAACAATTGATTAATTTCCACAAACCCAGGCCGATGCGATTCATTGCCCCGGGCATATTCCATTATCGACAAATATCCCAGCACATACCCAATCTCTGGTTTCGCCCCTCCCACTTCCAACAAAACCCGAACTGTCGAAACATGACCGCGAAATACCGCACGAGCCAGCGCACTCCACCCGCCGCGGTCACAGCAATCAACATCGGCCCCTCTCTTAATCAAAAGTACCACCACCTCTTCATGCCCCATTGCGGCCGCATACGAAAGCGGCGTCCTCTCCCCCGGCGAAGAATCCGAAAAGATACTATATTTCCCATCCTTCGAATTCATATCCACTTTACAACCGTCTTCACAATCCAACAAGATCTCCACAATCTGCCTCTGTCCCCTCTGCGCCGCCCATGATAATGGCGTCCTCTCTAATAAATCCCTCGAATCCGGATCTGCCCCTCTCTCTATCAATCTCCTCACGATCTCTTCCTGTCCATCCTCCGCCGAATGCGACAGCACCGTCCGTCCATCTGGTGTTCCCCTCCTATCCAAATCAACTCCTTCGCTTTCCAGCAATGCCGACACAGCCTCCTCGTGTCCACGAACCGCAGCCACAGCCAATGGCGTCAACCGTCCATTTTCCTCCGTGCTATTAGGATCGGCGCCGGCTGACAGTAAAACTTTGATGACGTCTGTATGGCCACTCCCCACGGCCCAAAAGAGCGGTGTTCGACCGCCCGGGTTGAAAGTGCGTCGGTCGAGGTTTTTTGTTTCGATATTCGCTCCGTGTGAGAGAAGGAGTTTCACGATGGACGTGTGGCCTTGGTCGCAGGATATGGTGAGCGCGGTGTGGCCTCGTTCGTATTCATGTTGGTCGTTGTTGTTGGGATTTACACCTTCTTTCGTGAGGAGTGTGTGGACGAGAGAGAGTTGGCCGGCTTTACAGGCGTGAATTAGTCGGGTGGCGAGAGATTGTTCGGGTAAGTAGGAGGAGGTTTGCGTTTGTGTTTGTAGTTGGGGTTTCGAGAGTGGAGGCGAAGGTTCTTGTTTGGTGGTTCTGTTCATGGCGCCCAGTTTTCCTTTGTACAGATAGGTAGCCCTTTAAACTCCTAAATCTAGTTTCTGTGGTGGCGCTTTGGGGGGTGGCAGTTTACTCGATTACTAATCTCGATCGCCCTAGACATGTATTCCGCAAATCAGAGGCTCGAGAACACGCCACGACATCGCTAACGCGCTCACTGGCATATTTGTGCCGGCGGTTTATGCGTCGCTTTTATTACAATTCACCAAGGTTTACAGATGTAAGCCCTTTCTCTTTGGATTCGGCTGAGTACCACACTGACAGATATTCTGAAGCAAAGGGTGAGGCGAAGAATTGATACCATTGGCCAATGGTGTTCATTGCGTGATGAAGTGGGACACAACGACCGCAGTGGCCTCCTATTCGGTAGTGCTTGTCCATGCAGACACCTAGCCCGTGTGGCTCGAAATCCGTACTAGACACATATCGAGAGCCACGAGGCCAGTCATGTAAAAGATCTGTCGAACTGCGTCCAGACGGGCTTCCAGTCTGGAGAGGTGGGTCCACGGCGGAGAAGCTGTAGCGATAGGAGTCTCCGCTTCCAGTAAGGAGGGATTCCATTGGCTCACTGTGTTCATTGCCTGCTGAAGTGGGTCAATATCGAAATATACCCACTGAGTTCAAGAAATGGCTACACCTTCAGTTCGCTTTGAATTCATCTGAGAAGGTACAAGCAACAAATTTGACCACAAGGGTATCTCCGAACGGCGAGTGCAACCCAACATACGGTTTGGCCTCCTCCATTGCCGCCACAATTCTCTGTCCCAAGCGATCCAAGTTGAGGCGGATGCGACCCTCACGACTCAGGGCGACGCGGCCGACCCAATGAACCGACCCTACCCCAAGCATATCCCGTGGCTTGATTTCCCTTAACTCCAGGAACAAGTCTGTGGAAGTTCGACTGTACCGCTGCCTTTCCCTTGCGCCCACTGTTCTCTTCTGATACCAAATCGATTATGTCTTTACGAATATCCAGAACAGACAGATCTATTCGGTAGCGTCTCTTCGGAATTTTGAGCGAGATACGGTGGTTAACTTTGTCGAAAAGGTCATAACAGATGAACCCCTTCGACATGAATTTGGAATCCAAGGCTGAGTCACATTCTATGATGGTGCAAACCCATCGGAAACTGTAGCAAATGAATCTTCAAGACGCCCCGACCGTAGTCGCAAATTTGGAAAGACAAGCAAGTGCTTCTCGTACTGGAGCCAAGAAAACATCAACAGAAAATGGTATGAACAGGGCTGGTGAAAGGAAACATCAAGCGAGACCTCGAACTGAGAATGAATAACTACTATCCGCCTTATTGAAGCCATCACATTCGTTTATGTAGGATGAACACTCTGTACGTGGAATATGTATGAAGGTGGTTCAGTAAAGAAAAGCTACTAAGATAATAAGATTCGCTCCGTGGCTTTTAGTTGACCTAAAGAGATTGGCTAACGTTGCTCAAGAAAAACCTATCATGCTCTTAGGGGTGGTTTCCGCCAAGCGACTGCGTGGATCCAAAACATACGTCGCAGGTTCTCTACATAGGTTTTCTAAGTATAATTTTCGTCCAGTTAAGACAGAATTCGATCAAAGACTCGCATCACTATAACTTACACTACAAGATAGCACAGCACCTCTCTGCTTTATCTTTAGGTTCGAGAAGTGAGGCCGCCGATCCGGTCTCGAAGACATCTTTGACACCCTCCCCAGTCAGACTAGAACATTCAAGGTATCTATAGGCGCCAATCTTATGCGCCAAAGCGTCGCCAAACGATTTAGGAGTAGGCTTCAGCCCATTTTTGCGAAGTTCTTCAATAGTGACTGTGTCATCGCGTAAGTCTTTCTTCAAACCGACTAGGATGATCGGGATGCCAGGGCAGAAATGGGCGGCTTCAGATATCCACTATCAATTTCAAATAGCGATCAGCAAACAATTTGTTATCGGAGTACCGCTTCCTATTGCGAGAACAAATCCAAGAGCATAGGGCAAAATGACCTTTTGCTCTACATTATCCATAGAATCTGGAGAGTCAATGGCGAAGCTGATGAGGACAACGTGTGCGCCGGGATATTTAAGTGGCTCTAATCGGCCAAAGTCATATACCCCTGCTGTGTCCCACAAGGCGAGCCGTATGATAATACTATGCCCTTTTTCATTTGACACATTGCACTCGTAAATACCGGGACATTGTTCGAAAGGCACATTGTGCCTGAGATCAAAGGTGCCTTGAACCTAGATAATTGCGATTCAATTATACTTAGAATTTTAAGAAAAGCAATTACTGCGAGGCGGGACAAAGGACGCTTACCTTTTCCGGAGAATTACCGTATAGCGCAGCCCGTAGTAAAGAAGTCTTGCCGCAACAGGAATCCCCGACTAGGGTCAACTTCCTATATTCGATGTCAGCGTCGAATGTTGAGGTGGGTGGATAACACAAAGATCATTTGAAAGACGTTATTTGGCTCTCAACAAGCAAGAGCTGTATTATAGACCACGATAATATGGTGTGGTCAGGTGTGAGATAATGCGGTGATGAGCTCAATTGCGTGGCGTACCTTTGTGTGACCTTGTGTTCACTAGCCATCGTTTATGAAGCAGGCAAATCTCCTAGTGAGTGCGGGAGATATTCTTGAGAATCAAGTTAGGGCCCCGTATCGCATCAGACAATATTTTCTAGTGAGAAGAAGTATCGTCCCTAGGGTCGAGTGAGAGGGAGGTTCGACTTTCAGCCGTCGAGAGAGCAGTTGTGCGAGGAGAATATCAAAAGTGGAGGACGAATGTGCAGACTGATGTGATAAAATTAACCAAAACGAGGGGCCATTGTGGTGACACTTGACCAATCATAACACGGACAGAGTGCTCGTCACGGCTAGCACGCCCAAATAATAAATTTTTTATACGGATAAAACATAGGTATTATATAGGGGACAGCCATGCGGGGGTTTGCCGTTATCCTAGGCAGGGTGTTCCCCAATCAGATCCGGAGGGTGTGGTTATATAATATCATATCTCTTACGAGCTGCGCTGGGCAGTGGCCTCCGCTTACTGGAGTCAGAATGAGTAGCAAAAACGGAAAAGCCAACTCCGTACAAAACACTAAAAGAGGTGCTGATCGGACAAAGAACGGAGACTAGGATCCGCTCTAATAAGCCTTTGTCCAATGGCACTGAAAGCATTCGTCCAATAACACTGAAGCACGAGAAGCCAACCATTGCGATTTTGGTCCAAATTTCGCCACAATTTTTGTATGGCTTTTGGCAGTCAGGATCAGGTTCTGTCACGTGCAGGAGGTTTCCCCTCTATCGGAATCCTTCTTTGTGGATCATACTGGTGCACCAATCGGATATCAACAAGTCTGAATTGCTATGCTGCCCGTTGCTGGCAATTTGTGTGGGCATAATAATGACTAATCTCTCGGATCTATAGTATCTCCTTTCTTCCGGGTATCCACCTATGCTGCTGTTCCGACACCCTCCACTCGTTCCGCGCTTCAGGGCACGTGACCTATGACACGTGAGGGTAAGGCAGATCCGATAATGCAGAACCCAAAATCCAATGACAGTGAAGAATGCAAACCAATTGATCGAGCAAGCTAAATCAGTAATGGCTAGTATTGCAATGAGTGGGGATTCTAGTGGAAGGGGAACCAATCAGTAGGATTGACAGATTGAATTGATTGATTGTAGATAAAATGAGTGGCAGGCAGAGGGTATGTTAAATACACATCTGCAGATTTGGTCCATAGTTGATATGTGGATGGGACCAATTCCTCCGTGTCTTAGAGGACCCATGGGATACTCGAGAGTGACTCGAAAGTGTTGTCTCGGAACCCCGTAATTTACATACAAAACACAAAGAAAGGCGGGGGACGAAGGAAACCAATAGGAGGCAGCTGTAAGTAACTGCTCCACTATCCTCGACATGGTGGTCAGTGCCACCGGTGGTGGATATTGTCGTTGTCTGCTCTGACACTGACCCATGACTCACTTTCCTCCTGCTGCCTTTTCCTATGCAATCTGACATTGACTTTCTTCCACCAACATGAAGACTATCCTTCGCTTCGCTGACCTATTCATCATCCTGCCCTCCCATCCTCCCTTTCCCAACCATGGCTCGCACCGCCCTATTTGTGATCGATATTCAGGCCGATCTAGCCCAGGATCCTCGAACTGAAATTCCTCACGCCGCTCGAATCCGAGATGTTGGGGCCGCCGTTCTTTCAAAGGCACGAATAGCCATCGACAATGAACTTGGTCGCGGCCTAGGTGCCAATCTTAGCATAATCATCGTCCAACACCACGAAACCCCTGAAAATGGCTCTTTGGTTAGAGGCAGCAAGCCGTGGGAGTTAGTTTTCAAACCACGTAATGAAACAGAGAGGATTGTGGAGAAGACTACCAGTGAGTTAAAACTTGACCGATTGCTTCAATACAATCACGATCTTTTGTTTTACAATAGAAAATGGTGTCCGGGCCACTTACTGTACTTATATAGGGGACACGTTCGAGTCCAACCAGCAACTCGCAGATCAGCTAAAAGCCGAAGGGATTGAAGAGATTGTGGCTTTTGGAATTCAGAGTGAATGTTGCGTTCAATCAACCTGTGAGGGGGCATTAGCTGCTGGCTTCAAAGTTGTGTTGCTGCAGGGAGCCCATTCGACTTATGATATGGGAAGTAGGAAGGCAGAGGAGATTGAGCGGGAGGTTGAAGAGAAGCTCCGCAAAGCAGGTGCGGAAATTATTCCATGGGATACATGGCAACCTTGACATAGATCAAGGATAGCCGCAGCCGACGTCCGTCCTAGTCATAGATAATGCATCCTTCCACCACTCCGAACGGACTGCGTAATTATATATCAATATTGGATTCAAGTTGGTTTACTGTATCTACCTCCTTATTCGCTAGATATTAACCCGGGTGAAGGAATTTTTGCCAAGCTCAAGGGCTTCGTTCGAGCTTAGCTAGAGCTACTATGAAGATCATCCAGACTGAGGATTTGGTTTATTTTTTGGCTGGTATTATCATGGTTGGAGATAGAGAGCAGAGTAATAAAGACCATCTTTAGCACGTAGGCCTGACTATTTGTACTCCCTATACTAGATCCCCTTAGCGGCACCGCTCCATTGAGCGATCGGTCTCTCATTGAGTCTCAAGAGCTGCAATTATAATAATTCTGCGAGAAAATGAAGGAAATGCATTGATGAATTTAGGGCTTTTGGACTTGTCACTGCTCTCTTGTGTCACGGGCCAATCAATACCCGATATTTGCCGCGTCTGCCACGAGACCTTGGCACGTTGACACGGCGAACGTGCGGGGGAAAACTTCTTTTCTTAAGCCTTTTGTACACACACAATTTATTAACGCCCGGCGGCTAACCCGAAAGGGCAACTATCACTGATCTATCAACACAGGTCCTAATGTACATATGCCGTATCTCCTTCGAGCCCATACATGGATCCTTTCAGTATATGTCCTCTCAGCTGTCGATATCATACGGATCCTTGTGGGTTAGTAATTTTATTAGTAGACTGGCTTGAAGGCGCTTCTTCAAGTGTTCAACATCCTATCCTCGGCAGTTGAAGCGCGTTTACCATCTTTGGCACAAGGTGGTTGGTGTATGTTAGTTAGGGGCCGAAAGACATTAAGTAGCTTCGACAGGCCTACTTGCATAGACCACTACCCCAGTTTTTCACCCGATAATTGAGGCTTCTGGTCCTTTGAGGTTCACCACGCCTCTCACCCTGGGTGTCTCTCAGTTTGCTCCATAAGCATACATCACGGGCAGGCCAACTAGGACGACACCGCTTCAACCGACCAAGGTCGGTCTCAGGCCCCCAGTGCGAGTGAGGTAGTTGACTCCCGGGTTTTTGTACACCGACACGCGCATCCGTCCTCTCGGGCTATACAGACAGTCTCTTGACAGGCCCCGACCCTGTCGCAGTGGCTGCCATTGCACACCACGCCCCGCGAGAGCTTACACTCTCGTTTCGCGTTACCTGAGGAGGTCTCCCTCCCTCAGGCCGACCGTGTCTTGTAGAAAGTTCTCTATACGCTCCCTCCGGCAGTGTATATTGGTTGCTCTCCACTAACCAAGCTTGGTCCCCGGTATGTGAACAGGGTCGACGGGTTGCCCGTGGCCAAGCCTTAACGAGTTCCGACGGCTGCCACCAGCTAAATACCGACATTTTCCAGATTGCCCGCGTGTCTCCCAAAGAGGATGCCCGTGTCTCGGTGGTGCCCGTGTCTCAAAGAACAGCCGGCCTGGAGGGTGCCCGTGGCTGGGCCTTGAACGAGGTCTGTCCGACGTTAGTTAGACTGCCTGTGTCACCGGTTCACTACCGCCTCGCCGCATCTCGCACGATGCGATCCCAGACCGTATGCTCAGGGGTGTCCTGTCTTCCTTTTAGGGCGACACCACTTTCACAGGTAATGCAAGGCCAGCTTCTGGGCCCGAGTGCGAGTCGGGTAAAAAGAAGTCGGGTGATTTTCGTATCCCATTATCCCCTGATTTTGTTGTGGTTGTGCGATCGTGCCCCGCGCCTCCCGCACCGGGTCGGACCGCACAACCACGGCGGGGATTAACACCGGACACCACGAGAAGGTATGAATCCATTGTCCCAGCAGCCTGGCGAGGACTGCTGCCCAGTGTGAGCTCACTGGGGGCGATCGGTACAGTGATATTCGAAATCAGTTTTACCTCCAATCTCTCTCTGTTTCCCAAAGCCCCACCAAAATCGAACTAGTCCGTATTTGAATATCTCCGCAGCCTTACATTTTTCCGTGAGTCAGCGTAATTACAGTAATTCCATCTCTTGCGTCTGATTCGCCAAAGCTCTGGAGAATGCGCGTGAGGCTGTGATCTTGGTGGCTTAGAGGTATGTACTAATTTTGTTAGAGGATTCCTGCAGCCATTACGCTACGCGACACAACTTAGCTCCTTCATTTCCGTGGTGCTCGCCACCCCGCCAAATACTATGCCACTGCTTCAGTAATCTTCGAGGGAAGAGGACGAAAAACCGACAATGACTACATCACTCACATCTCAATACACTGGAATTGCGAGTGAAATACTTACCACTTGACCACGTGTAAGAAGAGCACATGCAAAAAGGAATAGAAGAGAGCATATGCACTCTTCCTAATCATGAATCTTCTAAATTAAGCTTGGCATACTGATCGACAAACCCATCGAACAGCTTGTTTAGTCCGAGCAGGTTCAAGGGATCCTTATCACCTTGTGCATCCATGAAGCAAAGCATGTTATGGATGTCAAAAGTGATGGCCAACAGGTATCCGTATTCAGATTCCAGAAACACCTGATCCCCGGTATCTGAATCACCGGGTCAGTTTGTTCCACTGTCTGGCATACTCGTCACAGAAATGTCTCTTCTCGTCCTCGGTATATTTCCTGCAGCCTGCTATCCTGCTCTCCTCATCAAACCACTTGAACATCTTTTGCATGAAGTGCCCACCAATGTCAAATGCTCGGTAGTTCTGCATTACGAACTCAAAGTCAATTAGGATGACTTTGCTCTCCCCTTCCTTCACATGACTTTTCACCATCACGTTCATGAATTGGATGTCATGAATACACCATCCAGTCTTTCCTCCTGTGGTTTCCAGCTTGTCCACCACATTTCTCAGTCTCCTCCCATAGTCATAGTCGACCAGTTTGTCGATACTGATACCTGCTTCTTTTCCAAGTGCCTTCAACTTGTCCATTTTGAGGTAATCCCTGAGTCCATTGATGACGGCTTCATAATATAAATCCACCGCCTTTTTCTCCAGTGACATCTTCAAGACATGAAACGTCGCCAGTCCTCTGGCAACATCCGCTCGGATGACCGAATTCTCAACATCCTCCGGTTCCATGTTACGTGCATCCAAGAACTCCTCGACTCTCCCGAGTGTGCCATCTTGTGTCTTGAAGAATCCATAGACTTTGGCTCCCAGCCCGGTTCGACCGTATTCGTAGCAGAGAAGTGCTTCCTCATGCTTGGTTGGTGCCAAAGGCTTGAAGATTTCGAGGCAGCTCCCGGTGTCATTGTGAAATTTAATGAACACCTTCAAGGTCTCAGTAGGGGTGCCAGTAGCGGGCTTCGGTCGCTCCACGTGACAGTGGGCGTTGACAAACGATGCATGGTATGACATAGTCAGGGTTTCTGGATCCACAGATCGCCATTCTTCCGTCAGGAATGTGCCTATAATGTCCCTGACGTTCTTTTTAGTTGGTACTTCGTCTTTGGAAAAAGTGACAGGAACAGGCGTCAAAGTGGCCATCTTGCTTTGATGTGTGATGGAGTGCCTTGAGCGATGTGAAAAGAGGCAAAAAGGTGGGTAGGTTAAAGTATGTGCCAATGGTGTGATGATTTATCAGGGGACTTCGCAGTTTTTGCATGTCGGCTAAATCGCGAAAATGATTGGTACAGCGCTGAAAATTGTTCTTTATGATTTATGGAAATAGTGCCGGGGTCCCGAAGTAGTTTAGCGTCAAATCGATACCCAGTCAGGAGAGCCGGATGGCTTGCGGCTATTCCAGATCCAGGTTGGTGCACTTCTTAATAAAAATCTGGAGATAGTGCGTCTGAGTGGGGAAACATATCTGGTCTCAAATACGCAGTACTGCCGTGGGCATAATAATGACTAATCTTGGCGGAGGTAAAGTATTTCCTTTCTCCGGGTATCCACCAGCACTGCTGTTCCATCACCTCCATACTACAAGAACTGGTCATGTGACCTCCATCCCTTATTTCCCGAACATCTGTTTCAGACGGAGGTGCATAGTACCTCAGTTGAGCTCACTTGCTGGGACGGCCAGCACAAATGCACGCAGACAGTCTATATGGCTACTCTTTCTTTGCTCAGGGGGAACGAAATTTCGTTAGAAGATGCCCTGACCGACGACGATAATATCTTACACCGCCTGGACTACCCACAGAAGCAGCAAGCCTTCTGTTCATATTTACTTGACCACAAAGCGGACATCGAATCATTGGTTTCATTCCATCTTGGCGTGAATCTATGTGAAATTGCCGACCAGGTTGATTGGTTATTTGGGAGTTACAACGTGTGCATTCCAGTCTACGTGAATCGGCCATCTGGCAAACGTGTCCTATTTCGAATCCCACTGCCTTTCAAAGTTGGAGAAGAGGCGCATCCTGGGAATTCAGACGAGAAGCTGCGCTGCGAAGTCGCTACATATATTTGGATTCGCGAGAATTGTCCAACTATTCCGATACCTTTCCTTCATGGGTTCGCGTTCCTCAATGGGCAAACTGTGAGTTAATGTCCTGTCTCCTTTTATTGGATTGAAAGTGCTGAATGTACTATAGTTTATCCATGAGCAATCTATGGATGTCTGTACTCGATGGTTCCACCGTATGAAACGAACACTGCTATCACTGCTTGGGTATCCCAAGACATGTCCATTTATCGGCACCAAGGGTAGCGGTGCCTTTCGCATCGGATATATGATTATTAGCTTTGTTGAGAGTGGCAGCATGCTGTCTAACACGTTGTCAAAATTCCTTCTGACGGACAAGACTCGAAGACAAGCTCTTTTCAGCGATATTGCAAAGATCATGCTCACTCTTAACCAGAATGAATTTTCACGTATTGGATCTCTGACTTTGGATGATGATGGCTTGATTCATTTGAAAAATCGACCCCTTACGCTGCGACTCCAAACTTTCGAAAATGAAGGCATCCCCACTATACCAAGGAACTCTACGTATCAGTGTGTGGAGCCTTACATCTTGGATCTGTTGCAATGTCACGACAACCGCCTCCACTACCAGCCAAATGCCATTCATGATCTTCAGGACGGCCAGGAACAGCTTGCTGCTTTGACTATGATGCGAAGTCTCTTGCCTCGATTCACTTCTCGTCAATATCGCGACGGTCCGTTTCTACTCACACTTACTGATCTCCATCCAAGTAATATCTTTGTGGATGAAGATTGGCATATTACGTGTTTGATAGACTTGGAATGGGCATGCACTTTTCCCATTGAGCTACAGACACCGCCGTACTGGTTGACTGGTCGACCTATCGATGATATTGAACATGGAGAACACCTCCAAAATTTCCAATCTGTCATTTCTGAATTCATAGAGGCTTTTGAGCAGCAGGAAAAATCTGCCCGCACAGTTGTTACATCTCAAGCCGAGATCATGGGAAAATGCTGGGATAGAGGGAGCTTCTGGTATTTCCAAGCTGTCCATAGCCCCAAGGGCCTTCTGCGAGTGTTCAACGAGCATATCCAGCGAATTTTCTGTGAGGAGCACTGCACCCAGCGAATTTTCGATCGGACGGTGAGCCCTTATTGGTCCGTGGACGCGGGGAATTTCATTCGAGCAAAGGTGGAGGAAGATGCTGACTATAAGGATCGGTTGAGGACTCGGTTTGATGAGATTGGTCATTGATTCCTGCAGAAGCGTCTCGGGTTGAACAATTCTAACCCACCCTGGTACTCCATTTAGAGACTCGTTGAGGTCCCTTCAGGCGAGTACCTACCACTTAATCTTTTTTGTTCAATTTTCTTTTTCTCTGTGCCTCTGATCCCGAAGATATAACCTGATCGATGTTTGGATTATTGGCGATCCGCTCAGAGGGCAGCTCAATGTCTTTCTTCCCTCGAGCTCTTCGAGCTTCTTCGCCAGAAGACATGGACATACTGATGAGCTGATTCTGCTCTATTCGTTTTGATTCAGAGGAAGCTTTGTCTTTTTGCTCAGTCATGTTGGCTATCTTCTCGCTCGCAAAGATGAAATTATGGTAAAATCGTTGATGGCATATCAAAAGGAGGGGCTGGCATGCACTCTTACAGACCACAAAGCGGGGGATTGAGATGTCACGTGACGACTGATACAGTATCACTGGAAAAACGATTCGTATGACATGAATCGTTCTGTCCCTGTACTGAGGCACCGCTTCCCATTCTTGGGCTGTTACGTGGGTGACATAAACGGACAGCACGAAGTGACGGGTTCGACGATGGATGGTCCAACATGTTACCAGAGCCAGCCAAGAACAGATGCAGCCCCCCAGAGCCTTTCCTGCAAGATATTGTTCTTGAGAAAGCCAAAAATTACATCAGAAAGACAAAGAAGCCTCAGTGATGTTTAATATTATGGAAACGCTCAACTTTCCATTCATTGCCTGTCGCAAAAATATAGCGAATACAAGTCAACTCTACGACACTTTTGAGAGACGGACTTGCAGGATCGAAGGTGCCATATGTGTGACAAAGTGTTGGCTTCAATATAATACCCATACCGCTTGTCTTCTTCATATGTGGGGGTCACCCGCACTGCACCTTCCTGTCAAAGCATATGTTGCGGAGTGAAGCCACTCCATCAGACGGCACTCCATAAAAAGCTCGATCTTCGTACAGTGCAGTCATGGCATAACATGTCGATGTGAGCAACAGACCGATAAAGAGGCACGTTCGATGTGTCTGGCGAGCGAACTACTGGCGGCAGCCACAGGGCACCACTTCGCTGGGGAGGGATGTGCCAGAGGGTCAGCTGTTGTTCCCTGGATGATTAATGACCACTTACGTGCTTTATCGTGGAGAAGCACCGTCTCAGCGCTTGCACAATTGTCATCATGAAGCACGACATGGTAGTCCGGGCGACTTGGGCCGAGCGTGCGAACGGATTCCGTCTCATTGTCTTCCCAACTGACCAGAATGTCCCCGGGGTATGGCTTCAAATTGATGCTGTGTGGCAGGTATCGCAGTCGCTGTCCAATCTGACGCATGAACTTTATTTCTCCTTCCTGTAGTTGTCCGAGCCTATATAAAAACGGCATCCGCCTTCATGACTTGAGCTCAGGCGAACCTGTGTCTCCCGGTTGCCTGCTAGATTCATTACAGCTGAATCGAATGGGGCCACCTAAGCATATGCAGGGGATCAGGCAACTCAGGGCCCAGATATCCCAAGATCAGAAGGTATATTTATTTATATCAAATGAAAAATAGTAGTAAGGCTGTTGTGCGACGCTACATTTCAGAAGTGCAAACAGGAGACTTGCACTCATACATCAGGGAATAACTGCAAGACAACCTGATGTCATGGCAAACCGCTGTTCGGTCGGGATCGATCTTCTCATAACACCGTCCAATCTTGTTGTTCGGGCTGTCCTCCCAGTACACATTATAGTCGGACCCGTCACGAACGTAGCGCAGTTTCTTGCCCTCTCGGTTGCACGGGTTATACGAGTCCATCCGCCTCTCGCGGTAATTGTTATCCCAATGGGCACCCTTATCTGTTGAGCAAGGGTCGCCGTTAAACGCGCCGCCACTGATCATGTACGAACCCGAGAACCCGTAGCAGGTGGAAGTGTATAGCTCCCAATCTGCGGCGGCCGGGGCAGCGAGGAGTGAGATAGCAAGGACGGCGGCGAAGGGTCGCATGTTGGCTGCTATAGCTGTTCAAGATTAGAATAAGGCAGCTGGAAGTTGCTGGGGGTGAAGGCTTCTGACCTGGAATTTAGTCGGTGATATTGTTTAGAATTTCTTGTTGGGAGGTCAGGACAGGCTTGTTTGCCTATCAAGGTAATTCTTATATAAGGTCTTCAAGGACTTGATAAAGAATCATTTACTGCTAACTAGCTAGCAGGTAAAAATATTTCCAGTCTCTGACTAAAAAAGCATTTGACATGACTCTTGGCCCATATTTATACCTTTCATGGTGGTAATTTTTTAATAACTTTCAGAAGGCTGGTTTTCAAACATCAACTTATTGTTTGTAGGGATACCTCTTAGAAAGAAGTGGCGCAGTTGCCGTGCACAGTCAGAAGGCACAGCAGGTTCTTTGAGCTTTACCGAATTATATTACGGCTCATGTTTGAGGAGGTCAGCTCAGACTGTTGGATAGCGAGTTCAGCTGTTGGAGATGAGGGGTTTAAACCAAGCCTTCTTGACATTAGGTCTCCGCCTCCCTTTTCCGCCCCAGCGCGTCCCTGGATAGGACATACACTGCGCTCTTGGCAAGGCTCATGTCAGGCCCCCTAAATAACAATTCCCAGGCTTATGTATGATTGGCTACCAGCCAGCACCATCCAAAGGCCAGCGCCATCCAGCGGCGAGCAACGTTTATCAGAACATGGTGCACTGCCTCCTATTGGTTTCCTTCGTCCCCCGCCTTTCTTTGTGATTTGTATGTAATTACGGGGTTCCGAGACAACCCCTTCAAGTCACTCTCGAGCATTCCATGGATCCTCTAAGACACCGAGAAATTGGTCCCATCCACAAGGAGAATTAGAAAGAAATGTGAAGTGGTAAGGATGGTTGATAATGCTTCACATTTATCAGAAGATATAAGAAATAAATTGTTGGAGAGAATATAAAGTTATCATTGTCCAAGTTGGGGGAGTAATGAATTAAATACTTTGGTAGACCACAAAGAGGTAGGTACAGTCAAAAGAAAAATGCCTTACCGAACTACCGGGTCATACATGCAAGCTAAGCACGGCACAGGGGAGCCAACTACTTACGATTCTTGGAAGAGCTGAGTACTGTAACAAAAACGTCAGAACGGTCCACATTTGTCAGATGCTGTTGCTGTTGTCATGAGTATAGCTGCCTGAAGGAGCGATCGCAGGTCTTATGGTGTGGCGGCTGGTACGGTCAAGCACATGAGGGGCACAAAAAAGAAGCACTGAGGTGGTTGGTAACTTTCGCCATCTCATTTCAATTATTCCTGATCGGCAAAGCAGGAGTACATAGTAAATCATTCCCTCTAATGTGACGTCATTACCTTGCTTAGCTAATACGTCAAAAATCTCGATGGCTTAGTTATCTCTTCACAACAGAACATCCAGAAGAAAGCGGGCATGGCAAGGCGTCCTCGGAGTTTGTATCGATCCAGGTGCCCTTCCATAAGACGACTCTTAATGACTCGAAGCGGATCACTGCAAATGCGCCTTGTCCCATTGGCCTAGTAATATACATACTAAAGTGGGAAAAGCTCAAGGCAGCCTGATCAGCACAGGTAGGCCGAGGCACGAGAGAGATAAACACAACAGCAGGTCCCCTGCGCGGACCATCCCGACACGCTGACGAGTACTCGCGCGCACTGGTACACCGGTCGCCCGTCGTTTCACGAAGGTGGGCAAACAGCTCGCAAAACGTGGCGAGTTCCGTCCGCCGGTACCGTTCCTTGGGTTCATTCCACAGCTCGCGGGATGAGTCTAGTCCCGCGACGTGCACACTGATGTGGGGGGGACAGGTACCGGAGGAGTATGTGGTAGGCTTCGGCTTCCACTCATGGTGGCGCTCGAAAGCTTGGACCTCCACTTCGAGGCGTGCATCGATGGCTCGCTGCCTCACCGCCTCATTCAGGTGCGGTTCCACCAGGGGGTTGATATCTGCCGAGATGGGCTTGGCATACTTGAACAGACAGTCGGGGCGCTGAAGGTCGCCCGACACAACGTCCCAAACCTGCCTAGTTTTCAGGTAGGAGGTCATCAGGCGTTTCCAGGTAGCGTAGTTTTCGCTTCCTGTCAGAGGCTCATAACATGTTGTAGTTCAGTGGAAAGTTGATTCGGTTATTCCTGTATCTTCTGATAAGATACAAGAGGCTTATATACACAACGTGAAGCCCATATTGATTGGAAATTTGGTTCTTCATATAGAAATGCAAGAATGATTTCCGATGTTGTGGCTTTGTTCCTGATGTACACTTGCCTTGTATCACCACAACACAAAACACCTCCAGCTTCGTCATAGGTACGGAGTACAAAGGCCACAGGTTGATATTCGTCATCATAGATCATCCTAGAGACAGCGGAAGGGACAGGAGTTTCCAGTGCTTGGCTGACTATCTGAAAGTAGGACGGCGCAAACGCTATGCTTCATCACTCAAGATACAATGTTCGGTTTCTTCCACTTGCGAGTTTGATCGAAGGAGCTTTCATACTCCTTCAATTCGCAAATTGACTGCTCAGAGAGACATGGTTAGTAAGCTGCCAAAGTATTTTAGTGATGAGAACGTACTTGCCAGCTTCCTTCATCAAATAGGTCATGGTGGCAGCTTTAAATCGCCGTCCGCATTGGGACACGGCCAAAGCAGTATGCCGTTGGATATACTTGATCTAGCACCAATTGTCAGCAGCTGGCGCAAAATGCGTGTTCGCCACTCACCGTGCTCGCGGCCTAGATGTGCCCCCCCAACACCAGCCACAATAGACCATCCCGATCGGACTCGTCAGCACGGTCGAACCAGAGCTGTGTTTCACTGCGTCCCCATGTCAGTGTGGTTTCTCGTAACTGAAAGTGGTACAGACTTGCCGCCATGTAGCCTGGCATCAGCATAGGCAAACCAGAGACGAGGTAGCAGGCGTCAGCTCGATCACACGTGCATGAGGGCGCGGGATCACTCCGTACCGCGGGGAATGGATGTGGGCAATATCGTCCAATGCAGAGCTATTTCGTATTTGCTGTTCGTGTGCCCGGCAAATATTCAACCGTGTCAGGACAAAGCACCACTGGAGGAATGATTCATGGTATTTAGTCTAGGGCAAACTAGGAACTGACCTGAAACGACTGCTCTTGCGGCGAGAGACCCAGTAGATCCAGTACTGCAGCCTGGCTTGTTGCTTGCTCGGCTACAATCAGGGCTTGACAGCGCCGGCCCTCAGATTGTGGTCTGTAATTTGATGCATCACTGGCTGATTCTGCTTTTATAAAAACCGTGGTCTTTGTCGGTGGTCTTCGATGCTCAGCTTCTCTTTGTTGTCGCCGGATGGTGCGATAGGTCAGTCGGTCTAGCATAGGACCAGATCGTGTCTGTCGGAATACGCAAGGTTTCTAATGCAGTGACAGTTAACCTTTGGTCGAACAGGATGAAGCTAGAAGAGAACAAAACATTTTGGAACTCTACTATATGGCTAATCGAAGAGTACTGGGCCTTCCTAGATTTATTCCGTCAATGCGAGCGAGATGGACGTTTTAAGTATGTGTCTTGAATGAGCGAAGCAGAAACACAGTAGAGTCAGTGGCCCGGCCTGTCGTGCATCTTTGGTGTTGAGGACGATGGAAAGGGGCGGCTCGGTCGTGGCGAGTGCCATGTTGGCATCTGTCTTATGATTAGAAAGAGGTATCAGCGATCGTTTCTGATGAACAGAGAGCACGCTAAGATAAAAACTCGGGTAAATAGCCTCCCCACCGAGATCCAAAATGTAGCCCCGGCCATGGAAATAGGTAGAGGCAACGTACCAGGGTGACTAAGAGGAGATCGAGCCGCTCGTGATCAGACATTTGCCTTCCTATACAAAGACCTGTCAGCATGGGATAACTACTCTCAGAACTGCCGCAATAATAAAACTTACGTTGTCAGCTGCTGCTGTCCGCTGCATTCTGGCAAGGTCAAAGCGGCTGCGTAAGGGACGACTTCGATCTATTATTAATCGTCGGTAGGTAGCTTATAGAGGCACTTCGTAACTCACCGTGCTCGCAGCTTTTATCGTTTTTGAGGTCGTTCAAGGTCCGTCGAATGGTTTCCTAGAGGAGTAGCGGAGGCGGACTGATCTTGAGCGTATTCCGTGTCGGCGTGATTTCAAATAACGGGCCAGCTACACTAACTTGATGTTTGAAGACTTCGGTATCGAGCAATGACGGGCTAGTGAGATAGAACAGGTTAGTTTAATCACAATTGCATGACAATTCGGGTCAATACATACCAACGAGTAGCCGGCGGAGAAGAAAAGCGTTCGATTTTCTTTGAACCGTAATGACAAAGGAATGCTTGCGAACGACCGGGTATTTATAGCATTTCAGCCAGAAATTCTGCTTGTGACGATGCGATGATCATTGTGAATTGTGAGGGCACAAACACAGATGACTCTCCAATTCCAGCTAGTTCAACATTTAATCATTGATGATTTAATGCAGCACTCCGAGGCATTGTATTTTTCCCTGATGATTCAGCATATGAATTGTTTTTCTCACAATTCTATCGGTAATATTCATAGAGTAACTTCAAATTCTTGATGCTCTCGAGTCATGTTTGCTCGTGCTGGCCTCCGCGCTTTTTATTATTTACTCTTGAGATCTTGAGAGGATGTTTTGGATTTGATTATGATGATTGGTGGAGGAATCAATCAGAGTACAGTAAAAATAGTCGGACACAGTCTTTTCTAAGAGCCAAGGCTGCCAGAACTCATAGTCCAAAAAACTTATATCAATTACGGAGGAAGGTGAAATTTGAGAGAAGATCAGGGATTCGTGTTGCCAGTGCCTCATAGACATCAAATAGTGTTATTTACTGCGCAAAGAATAGTTCCTTCGCCATCAGAGTTCAGATCACTGCTACATTTTAGCATGCTCCAGCTCTGCCATGCTTTGTTATACGCATGGTACAAGGTCCATGAATAACTCCGCAGACTTTCGAGTTCAGAAATGAGAATTTGTCG